TTTATAAAGACAGATGGCAAGAAGGGGAAGGCTGTCTGTGGAGAACGTGCCATGTGTCAAAAATCAATTGAAAGCATAAATATCATTGAAGTTTAGGCTCTATGTTGCCTTCCCCTATTCTTTAATTTTCAACGTTACCAAATGTCATATGCCATTTACTCTTTCGGTGCCTTCATTGAAGTATATAGGATCACTATTGCAATTTAAATATTAAATAGTCTTAACTTTCTAAATAAATATCCTTACATTTTATTAAAATTATGTTATATATTAGCATTCTTCTTTGTGTGCACATCCCCAAAATCACAATTATGTTGGAACTAAGGGAGTAGAATACAATAGTATGATTTCCATTATATCACTATAAATGATTTGTTCACACTTTATTACTTAATACGATTCAAAATATCTATAATTCACCATATGCATCATAGACCTATGGGAGTGCTTAATATAATTTACCATATGATTCAAAATAAGTGGTTTGGAATGTTAACCTATGGGAGCGCTTGACTAGAAAAGTGCTCCCGTGGACCTATACAAAATTAAAAAAAATCAAAGTGTATGTCAAAGCGTTTGAAATATAATACTCTGGAAAGTTATTGGATGTTTCAAATGTTGCCTAAAGATGAGAAATACAAAGCAATGGTATAACCTTTTCTTCTCATCTTTTATGTATTTACTCTCCGATTTTTTGTTTAGTCTTTTTGTTCTTTTTCTAATCCTTATGTTTCAAATTGTTCATATCTTCTGCACATATTTTGGAGTTTAGATAGAACCCTTAATTTCATTGAATACACAAGTCTATTATGATACAAGTCTCCTTAAATAGAAACCTTAAGATCTCACATTTGCTATATATATGATTTCACACAACTTAGGTAATCATATATGGTTTCTTTTTTGATTTCTTACAAATCAATTATGTTAGAAGAATGACATAAAGTTAAAAAAAAGTTTGTATATTGACATGTAAAAGATTTGGTTCCAAATTTGATAGTGTGATGATGCTATCAAAATTTATTTATGAGTTCTACAAAATTTATTAGAGTTGAATAATTGTGAAAACTATAAAATATATGGTGAAAAAGAATTTTATTTTTTTAAAATAAAAGTACATATTGGAGCACTTTTGTTAAGAAGCGCTCCAGTAAAACCCTCTACAGGAGTGCTTTATTGACTAGCGCTCTTGTAGAGAGCTATATGGGAGCGCTTAATAGGAAAGAGCTCTTGGAGGGTTTTTATTTTAAAATTTTTAGATGCCTACGGGAACACTTTTATAAAAAGTGCTAATGTATAAAAGCACTTAAACCATCTGTGCGGGAGCGCTTCCAAAACACTCCTGTAGGTCAAAAATAAACACTCTCAAAAAATTATTTTGTACTAGTATCTATGCATGATGTATGGAATATGAAAAATGAGCACCATTAGCTCATAAATCATGCAAGTTTATTAGAGTTTTTACTTCTTATATAGCACTCTTATTGTTTAAAATATATGGTACTTTCAATTAATTTTATAAGAATTAAAAAAAATAGCTAAAAGTAATCTATAACATTAAAATGGTAAAAAATTATAATTACTTTTCCAAATTACCCCCAATTGAAAGTAATCTATTTTAATTATCTTTAATTTCTTTGTTATATAAAACAATGGCTTTGAGAGTACCTCAGGATGCCTTTAACATATTTCATGCAATGTGACTGCATATCCCAAAACTTAAATACAAGACTTAGGATAAACTGATTCAACTCTCTCGATCAATTGAACCAAGCACCCCTTGATTATACAATATAATTAATAATAAAACTTATGAAAAAGAAGAATTTAATACTTTTCACTTTTTGCAAAATACTTTGCATTTTGGATCAATGCTACTTCTAGTTGGTAAATTATTGTATGTATGCATGTATGTATGTATGCATGTATGTATGTATATTATATTTTGAGCTAGAGCAGTAGTTTATATATGTGGAGGAAGTAAATTATTGTTAACTGATAGCATAATTAATACTCCTCTGGTCCTATTTATAAATTACTTCTAACATATTTTATCAATATTAAAGAAAATTTTAAAACTCATTAACTCAGTCTTAAAATTTAGTAAGTTCTCAACTATACCCTTATTAAATATATATACTTCAATAATATATTTTCTCTCTCCAACATTCGATAGAGAGTAAAAGAGAAAATTTGTGATGAAAATTTAATAACATGACTTATAAATATGATCAAAAATATATTCTCTCTCTACCTTATAAATAGGATTAGAGGAAGTATTTAACTTTATCCGGTCGTTTAGAAATATGTACTGGTGTTTATTAATATAAGCGCACTAAGTTGATTTAAAATTCGTAAAATCCACCCACAACTGTCTATGCATACTTTTGGAGAATTTTATGTTATTCTTTTGGCTTATTCTATATCAAGCAAATTTGAGTCATATTGCACCCTTATATATTTGACTTTATGTCCTTTTCTTTCTTTTACTTCAACAAGGCAGACAAAAACAATATACCATGAAACTATAAGTTACTCTCACCAGACCCAAATATATAAACCATCGGTAACTAATTCACTCTTTCAAAAAATAATGTTAGTCGAAAATTTGATTTTTTTAAAAAAATTAAATTTTCCCCTCATTAAATACCCTATAAAAATACTTTAATAATAATAATTAAAATTTTAATACGTCTTTTTTTAAAAAAAAAGTTATAAATAAAATAGGAGTATAACACAGACACATGTTTATGCTCATGTATATGTGGGTGCGTGTGTAGAGGAGGAGGGAGGGTAGGTATTATAATTATCAGAAATGTACATAGATAAGGCAAGTGCAACCGATAGTTGATAAGCATTAAGCAACAAAAAAACTGGATAAATTGCAAATGCATTTGTCTAATAAATTAATTAATTGTCTTTAAATTGACATTATCTTTTCATATTTACATTTATTTAATATAATATCTCATTTAAACATGACAAGTTGAATGATTTATTTATTAAGAGTATTTTTGAAAAAAATTCATTAACTACACATTGAAAAATTAAAAATACTTTATATTTTTAATATTTAATTTACAAAATGTCTTATATTTTTAAAGTAGGGAGAGCACATGGTAAATGGTAAACCTAATAACTTTGGCCGAAAGAAAAGAACAAAAATAAAACGAATATTTTTTTTATTTTATACTTATAAGTTTCAAATACGATTGATTTCTTCTGCAAAAACCATATTAGTATGGTTTTCCCCCCTATAGAATTATATATTTAAACTTTTCAGGGGCCAAATTAAAATGCCACGCGTATATATGAGTATTATTGTGTGATATCGTAATGGCTCAATAGGATCTAAAATCATGGACACCCTCCCAACTACAGACGTAATAAGTTATTGCAAACACATCAGACATGTCATTATAAATGTGATAGTTAAGGATTGTGTTATACTGATAATTGATCAAACTACTTCATCAATATATACATATATAACTCAAAATCTTTACCTAAAATAGGAGAAAAAAACAACCGATCATTAGCAATAATTAGTGTTCTAAATAATACATATAATTAGAAAAATATTTGATATATAAAAAGGATTTTCACAAGTAATTAACTAATGAGATATATATAAAGGAGGTCAAAAACCGTCAAAGTATAGTTACATAAAATCCATATAATTAAAAATACAAATATATAATTTCAGGAAAGATCATGAAACTGAAATGATGATCAATGAATGGCTAGTATATATAATAAGAGAAGAAGATCCACAAATTTTGGTGTAAACTTGAAGCTTGAGCAACACTTGATTTTACACAGCAGACACCTTACTGCATGCCACACGTAAAGATGAAGCCAATATCATCCACTCTCTCTCTCTTGATTGTGCTCTTCTTCTAATGTTCCATCGAAACATAGAAATTCAAAGCATTGTCTAATTTCTATACCTTCTTTCCCTCTTGTTCTTAATCAACAGGACAACCTCCACTAACTGGCTATATCCCTGGAAAAATCATTAAACATCATATATATAATAACATTTTAGAGGTTCCAAAAGGACAAGGGTAATGAGAGGCATGAGTATATATTGCGCCTAGATATAACTGAAACCAAGACACTCATGGAAACTAGAGAGAGAAAAAGAACATGCACTTTGTAGAGAGAGAGAGGGGTGGAGTGTGTTTCAAGATTCAATCATTACATGGTCTTGGGGAAGCAGAAAGAGTTTGGGTGGAAATAGCCCAAGAGTATGGAAGAACGTGGCTTGACCGAGAGGTGTACGAGAGAGAGAGCCAAAAAAATAAAAAGACTAAAGGGCGAAAAAGATGAACTCTCTTTAGAATATTATAAACTAATGAAGAAAAGAAAGAAAGGTTTAGCTGCCTAAGCCTTTTATCATCATGATACTATCAGCCTTTTTGGTCCTTGGTCGGTCGACAATGTTCCTCTTCTGTGTTCACTCTGTGTTTGTGTTGTGCTTCTGTTTCCCATTCTCTCTCTCTTCCCTAAGTCCCATCATTCACATATAGTGTCATTATACACTTTGAACCAATCACAAGTTTAAAAATTCTTTCACTATTCCTTCACATCCAGAGTAGTAGTGTATTGGTATAAATATACTATTATCATACTCTAAATTTGTAATAGGGAGGGGAGCCACTGCCAGGAAAGGAGAAAACAAATTAGCAAGAGCCGTGAAAAGATAGTGTATCTTATTTCAAAAATTCAAGACTCAAGTTTATATTATATTAATTATTATTTAACTTAATTTTATTCGACGAAAGAGTTCCAGTCTACTCAAACTTTAAAGAACCTAACAAGATTAGTATATTCTCTATAATCTTTCCAACAAAGATCCCCCTCAGCTTCATCCATGAGAATACCGCCGTAGGAGGAAAAGAATAATATATATATTTATAATATAGAGCAGTAAACGAACAGGCTCTCTCTTTCTTTATATTTAGAGGGTGGTGGTGGGGTTTCAGAGAAGACGATGGAAAAAACAAAAAATAAACCCAAAAGTTACCCAACAAAGCGAAAGAGAGAGGAGGAAAGTTTTGTTCTTCAAGCGTAGGATAAAAAGGGTCATTCTCACCTCTTTCCCTCACAGCCAAAAAAAACCTACCAAAGTCTGATAGAGATTTCAGATCCCCGTCGATCCTCTTGCCTCCTTCTCCTTCTCCTTCATCGCACATCAAAGGAACACGCTATTAAGCCCTGTGTTCTATTATATTCTTCTCTCTTCTTGGTCTATATATATCAAAAGACTCGAAGCTGATCACGTGTGTGTGTGTGTCTCTCTCTCTCTCTCTCTATATATATCTATAGGTTTAAGGTGTTATTATTATACATTCGATCATATTGGAGATGAAAAGAGAGGAAGATCATGGGCAGTGTTCTTCGCAAGCCATAAACAACTTTCACAGCTATCAAGAGCAGCTGCTTCTGCAACAGATGCAGCAACAGAACAGTATGTTTCCTGAAGTTTCTCCAATCCTTCAGCCATGGAATATTCCTCCGGTTCACTCCTTCAACCAGGCGGCCCACCATCATCACTTCGCCAATCCGGTCCGAGTCGACCAACACGACCCGTTTCTTCTTCCTCCGCCGCCACCTCCTCCTCCGGCTGGACCCTACGCCGGTTTGTTTAACCGGAGGGTTCCTTCTCTGCAGTTTGCCTACGACGGCTCAGCTTCCGACCATCTCCGGATCTTATCGGAGGCTCTTGGACCCATGGTTCAGCCCGGTTCAGCTCCGTTCGGCCTGCAGGCCGAGTTGGGCAAGATGACGGCTCAAGAAATTATGGACGCTAAGGCTCTTGCAGCGTCTAAGAGTCACAGTGAAGCTGAAAGGAGACGCAGGGAGAGAATCAATAACCATCTCGCCAAGCTTCGAAGCTTATTGCCCAGTACAACCAAAGTAAGTACGAACAATTTCACTAATTAAAATTGAATTCCATTAATTTTAATTAATTAAAAAACTAAAAACCAAGCCTACAACACATGTTTTTTTCCCTTGAAAAACCCTTTTTGATGTTCCGCGGTTATAATGGGCTTTTGCTTTTTGATTTGGGAAATTAAAAGATGGATATGTAAATCTTTTCCAAGATTGTAATCAGTTTGGTCGGATAACAAGAAGATTGAAATCCCAAAAGCCTTTTAGAAAATGAGGTGCAAACAGTCACACTTTTTACACTTTCCTTTTCGGCTTTGCTAGTTCTGGTTAATTATATATTTGTGTTACATATATATATATATATATATATATAGTTGACACTTGAGTGTGGTAGTTCCAAGGAAGAGAAAGAAAGAAAGAAAAGAAAAGAAAAGTGTATTAGCGTTAATGTCGCTTAGTTGATGTGATAAAGAGGAACCAGTGAGCAGCTGAAAAAGCTACACATTGAAATTACATGCCGGATAACATTAATGATCAGTCAAACTCAGTTCGAGAATGAAAATAAAAAAGAATCGCACATATCAGACAAAGCTATAGCCTCCTTGTCAGTCTCACACACCTTCATTCTGCATGCCTATTTTTGCATGCCTCTTCCTCTTCTTCTTCCTCTCTGCAAAATCCCACCAAACCTTTCACACAATAAATATCTCTACTATTTATATGTATCATGTTCTGTATTCATGCTCGTTTTGAGATTAATAAGTGGTCCAGTATCTTCATGTTACTTAGTACACACTTCACTGTGCATTTTTCTTCTTTACGCAAAGCCCCACCATTGAAGATCCTCTCCATGATCATTTTCTTAAAGACATTCGCAGTGTAGAAGACAAGTGGATGACTTTTGATTATTTTGCAGACGGATAAAGCATCGTTGCTAGCAGAAGTGATTCAGCATGTGAAGGAACTGAAGCGCCAGACGTCACTGATAGCAGAAACGAGCCCAGTGCCGACGGAAGTCGACGAGCTGACGGTGGACGCCGCCGACGAGGACGGCAAGTTAGTGATCAAAGCCTCGTTCTGCTGCGAGGACAGGTCGGATCTGTTGCCGGAACTGATCAAAGCGCTGAAAGCACTCAAGCTAAGAACCCTCAAAGCCGAGATCACCACTCTGGGTGGACGCGTGAAGAATGTGTTGTTCATTACAGGGGAAGACGGTGGCGGCGACTCATCAAGCAGCGACGAGCAACATCATCATAATTATCATCTTGATGATGAAAGCCAGAGGATGATGCAGCAGCAACAGTACTGTATAAACTCGATACAAGAAGCTCTTAGGGCTGTGATGGAGAAGAGTGGTGGTGGGGAAGAGACGGCAAGTGGGGGTATCAAGAGACAAAGGACTAATAACCTTAATATCCTCGAACACAGGTCTTTATAATCGCTACTGCTACTACGACGTAGTGTACGTACTAAGTTTATTCATCTTCAAAGATCAGATCTAGTAGCTGCCTACCTTATATATTACTACACACTAAAATGAGATCGATCTCTTGCCGGTTTTTTATTTTTTATTTTTATTTTTGGTGCCTACTTTTTCGGGTGTGGTTTTTTGTGGTGTGCCGGAAAAATGTCATTTACTATATAATGAACTAATATAATATGTGGTTTTTGTGTACTTGTGTTCAACGATAAAGTTACATTCAAGTAAGTCCAGATTAGTGAAATGTGTTTCTTTATTAATTACACACATGTTGATTGTAACATCGGTAAAAAGAATATAAAGTTATTATGTTGTAATTTAGTTAAAGATATTTTATATTTTTTAATAGAGAGAGTACGGAATTGGATTGGATTAGAAGGCAAATTTATCCTGTAACTTTTTCACTAGATATCATTGGTATCCTTAAATTTGATTGGTGCAATATTATATATCCTGAAAGTTTAAAAAATAATACAATTGACAATTAACATTGGTCAAACATTAATATTATAGAATGATATTACACTATTTTTAAACTTTTGGAGTAACATTGTGATACTCAAAAGTTAAGAATACTAGTTATACTCAATATAAAACTTCCAAAAACATATTTTCCCTATAAAATTATGCTATTTGACTTCTATCTACTTTGTTATAACAATTACAAATATGAAAAGTATAATCAAAAAAATTATCAATCATTATAACTAAGTGGGTGGGGCCAAATGTTAGTGGTTTGGGTTTCTTAAATATCATTTCAAAGTTCGATTCCTAAATATATGTATAGAGAGTATTGCCAGGGAGACGACAATCCTTTAAATGGTGTCTAGGTTATTTGAGAGATTAGTCTTATAGCTGCCAACTACAAGAATACCTTAGAAAACTTATAAAAAAAATATTAATCATTATAAAATACACCCCCTTTAGTTATTATCAAAAGACCTTTCTCCATATGTAATCCTCATTACGAAGCCATCTACAATTTGTCTTTAATTTTTTTTTTCTCTTGACGCCTTTTAATTTGATATTTCTTAACTAGCTAAACAATTTATTTTACCGACTAACTCATGAGTCATAGTACTTTATTTAATAAACTCCATTCTCATAATTCTGAAAATTTAAAAGCATTGAGTAATTTCAATCGAACTAATTAATCTATAAAGTTAGTAACATGTTCTTATAATGAAGATAAAAAAATAGTAAAATTTACAATATATCACACACCCTCCGTCCTAAATTATAAAATAAAAATATGAACTTTTAAAAATATAATACCTTTCATTTAATACTCTATTTATTAAAGAATATATTAAGAAAAATAATATATAAAAAGGATAATATTAAAAATACACCATCAATGAACTTTATTTTTATCAAAATATCTTATATTTTAAAATTTAAATTTTTCTTAAAAGTATTTCCTCCAATCTCATTTATAAATCACATTTTAAAAGATTTATTTAATTTTATTTATAAATTATGGTGCGACTTTTTAAATAATATAAAAAGTAACATGACATTACTTTTTAAACTTGTTATAGAATAACATATTTAAAATTCTACACACTTTTATTTATTGTACTTTTTTTGCATGAGTATTAATAAAATTGATAGAAATAATTTATAAAAAGAATCGGAGAAATACTAAGACAGTACTTTATTTGTAATTCATGAATGATATGATTTTTTGGTAAAAAAAATAAAATGATTTTATATAAAGATATTGGGAAAAAAACACAAAAAAGTTTAATTACCACATGCTGCCCAGCTAATCTACGACCATGCATTTTGCAGGAAGTACAGCTCTGGAAGTTCTAATGTGATTCAAAAAAACACGACAAGAAAAAAAAAAAAAAACAAATAAATGCGAAAAACATTATCGTGTGGAAATTGCATGGTCCTTCAGAGATACCAGAGACAGAGAATGTCATGAAAAATTGAAACGTTCGTTAAATCCATGAAATGCTACCTATAGCTAGCTACCTATATAGTACACAACTGTACTTGACACATATTTTGCAAAATCATAATTAATAAACAAATATTTTGACCCTTACTGCGAAAATTTTTATATTCATTTAAGAGCCTGTTTCAAAACTACTTTCTAGCCATAAAAATTTTCGTATCACACGGGTAGATAAAATAAATCTAATATTATTTTATTTTTATAGAACATATGTAATATCTTTATTTTTTTTGGAATGCAATACGTGTAAATAATAAGAGTAGTGTCTAAATTTTAAACGTTTTAAATCTTTATTCTCAACATCACCCAGAACTTTCGACATGAAAAAACTCATTAGAGTTAGAGATATAAATCGACTTTAACATGATTCAACAAAATTAACCAAATTTTTAAAAAAATTATTAAAATTATTTCCGTCAGCCTAAATTTGAAAGGAAGTACTTATTTTTTAAAAAAATCGAACTAAAATATAACATATTAAAAATTGATTCATATTTAAAGTTGTTTCCTTTAATTTTCTGTTTTAAAAGAAGCCGAATTCCTTAGTGGTTTTCTTTTTGACTTCACCCAAATTTTTAACTTTTTTTATTTTGGTTGGGGCTCACAGAGATGATTTCATCCTACATAAAATTCATTTGTATACTTTTGAAGTAAATAAAGCCCATGGGATTGTTCAGAAAACAAAGCCCACATGCTGTTGGACAAAACAAAAAAGAAGAAGAAAGTAACCTTCGGTCAAATGATGAAGCCCAGTCCAATCCATACTTCATTGCGCAAAGCCCATCCTATTAAAACGATCGTTTAATAGGGTAGAAAACAAAACATTTCGTTGGCCCATGCAGGTCTCGAACCTGCGACCTTCGCGTTATTAGCACGACGCTCTAACCAACTGAGCTAATAGGCCATTGACGAAAGTTGTGTTTATCTATATATACTGAATAATTAAAAGTTTTTTTTTTTTTTTAACCTACAACTTCAAGATTCCATAAATATTAGCAATTACGAATCTTTGAGCAGAATTTTTTACTTGAAAACGAACATAATTTGAGATAAATTATTCTAAAACTTCAATATATTCATGATGATATTATTAAAAAAAATTATACCTGTAAAATACTGGGCTTCAGTAATTTAATGTGTTAATCTTAACTTTAATTGCATGGTGCTGTTACAAGAATTCAGGAAACGCATATTTCAAATATTATACTGCATTCAGTTCCAGTAATGCACAAAAATATTTATAGAGAAAATTAGCAAACTGATAATGACGATGATTTGGGTATCTGCTAACACATTATCCATTTGGTCGGCATCAATCAATAAAAAATGATATATCATTTTGAACTTGGAACTACAGGCCATGAAACTAAACATTATTTTTTAAAATAAACAAAATAGGATAACATATTTATAAACTGGAATAAAGGCTGTTAAGTTTTTTCTTTAAAAAAATCACTTATTTTTTGAAAAGTCCATTTTATTAAAATTTACAATATTTGTTTGAACTTTTAAAAATAATTAGAATTTGAAAAAAATATAGTTTCTTAATTATTTGGAGAAGGTACTTTGAATGAAAATAATATGATTGGAAAGATGAGTGAGAATATTAAATATCAAGGAAGAAGGGCTATTAATTTTTCTTTAAAAAATCAATTATCCTTTTTTTTTATGAAAACCTATTTTGTCAAATTTTATAATATTTATTTAAAATTTTAAAACAATAAAATTTGAAAAAATAACATGATTTTTAATTATTTGGATAATCAACTTTGAGTGAAAATTATATGATAAGAAAGATGAATGGGAACTCAATAAAAAAAAAAAACGATGAAAGGGAATGCCATAGAAGTATCATGATATATGAAAATATTATAAAATTTTAAAATAATTAAATAATAAATCACTTTTCATCAAAAAAGATTCAGAACTATTTCATAAAATCTAAAAATAATTAAATAATTCTACCATTATAACTAATGATAAAATAACATTTTTAATAAAATATTTGAAAAATAAATCTTTTTTATAAAAAATATCTAAATTATTGTTTTTTAATCTAAAACGAACGCCGTAATTCCATTAGCTGCTATTTTGGTACCCGCACCCATTCAAGAGTCAAGAGAGTATATATAGAAATTTATTTTTATTTCACATCTCGATAATTTAGTTTTTTATTGAGAATATCTGAACAAATATGTATCAGAAAAGTAAAGAAAGATTGAAAGAGAAAGAATAGCAACTGTTTCTGTAACGCCCACAAGTCCGGAACGGAGCGAGCTTTGCAGCCACCAACCAAAGTTCTTCTTTTGAGATACTTTTCCGATCATTTCCGCAATTCTTTCTTCTTCTTCTTCTTTTCCTTTTTTTTTTTTTTGGTCCCCTGAGAGTGAAAGAGACTGTATTGTTTCCCTTTGTTGCCTCTTTTTCATTTTGCATTTTTCTTTCTGTGCAATTCGTTTATCGAAATGCTGGTTCGGATGAGGGTGATGACTTGGGGTAGGGTTGGCAAGTCTCTTCAAGCTCTTCTTGCTCATGGTTTACTCTTCTCATTCACTCTCCTGCTTGTTCTCAAGATTGACCGTGTCGTTCCTTACTCATGGTGGTAAGCCTTTCACTGTTTCTTGCTTTACATAGCATTATTAAGTTTCTCTTTCGATATTCAGAAATGAAAAGTCGAGAAAGAAACGAAGACAACGAAGAAGACTTTTTTCTGAACATCGCGGTTTCTTTCCCTCTTTGCGATTCAGTGCTTGCATGCATGGACTATATTTGAATGTAATTTTCAAAGGAAATCACAATGATTGAGGAGAACTCAGCTTGATTTATCTACAAATATTTCTTTCCTCTATTGCATACCCTGCAATTTGTTGCAATAATCGAAAAGGCTGCGTTTTTTTATATCATATTACTTATCCAAGTTAGGTGCAAGTCTTTTGAAGTTTCTGTTGAGACTTTCTTCAGAAGTTAGACTTTTCGTCTACGTCTTGGGTTATAAATGACCAAGAAAAAAATAGAATCTAATTTCCTCGTTTGTCTTTTTGTGTATATGTGTATACATATGTTTGCATGTATAAATAAAAGCCATTTGTACTTATATCTTTTTTTTTTAATCTAATTGGCAGGATTATATTTTCACCTCTTTGGCTTTTTCATGGTGTTGTAGCGCGAGGTCGGTTTTCCCTGCCTGCTCCTTCAATGCCTCATGATCGCCATGTATGAAAATCTTTTCAAAAAGTTTAGTCTTTATTGTGGAATGATTAAATTCTTTCAAAGTTGGAATTAGGGTTTTGTTGCTGAAGTGAAGCAAATTTTGTGTTTGGGCAGTGGGCTCCTTGTCATGCCATCATGGGAACTCCATTACTTGTTGCTTTTGAGATACTTCTTTGTATACATCTTGAGAGCTCTTATGGTAGGAAACGCTTCTTATGGCATAATCATCATGGGTCTTATGGAGCTGTGTGTTCCAAAGATGATGAGTTGCAGCTTCTCTTTTAAGATTTACTGATTTTTTTTTATGCTTTTGATTTATAACTTTTTCATTGAAATGATGCAGCGATCAATTTAAAGATAGTTTTTTTACCGCTGCTGGCTTTTGAAGTGGCAATTTTGATTGATAACATTAGGTAACTATCATATTCCGCCTACAAGTTTATCGTGACTTGCATGTTGTTCAACTGGTTCAGGTTTCTCCATCTTCTGGTGCAGAAACAGAAAGAGCTTGCATGAAAGAGTTGAGCTACAAATCATCACATCTGCATGACTTTTATTAAATGACTTATTAAATAGCATGTGCATATGCTTTTAAAAAATAATTTTCATGCTTGGAAAGTCTTATTATAATTTCACAATAAAAGAAGGTTATAATAATTGATCTGATTAGTTCCACCCAATTTTCATCAATCATTTTAGTTGTAAGTTGCAATTATACTAGTTTTATGCCTTTCAATCTGGTAAATACTTGCTTTAATAATGAATATATCTTTCCATAGGATGTGTAGGATTTTGCTGCCAGTAGATGATGAAAATATGAGTGATGAAGCAATATTCGAAACCCTTCCTGTAAGTGTATTATCCTTTGCTAAATAATTGATTGATGGGTTGCTCTAAGTAATAGGTATCTATTGCTTGCTCTGGATTTCATTTACTACTTTCTTCAAGGGATTGTTCGTACTTAGTGTTAATGGCTGATATTGTCTTACTTTTCTTGGGACAAAATATGACCTACGAGACTAGATTATATTTTTAAAATAATGAACTCAATAGAGTATGCAATCTCATTGTCATTATATTTTCTTACAACCTTGAAACTAAATTTTGAACTCTTGTTTTCTAGCACTTCTGGATTATGGCATCAATGGTCTTCTTTATTGCTGCTACAGTGTTTACTCTTCTTAAGATATCTGGTAAGTTTTTATTTTCCCTTTAAAATAACAGTTCCCTGTGTAATTGGCTTCTTTTCCCCTTGTGTCTGTTCATATTGTTGCTTGGAGATGCATAATGGACTAATGAATTGCAACTTTAAGGCTTATCCCACCCTCCTTTCCCTAAAAAATATCTTTTCATGATGTCAGTTGTTTCATTTCTCCTAAAGTTTTTTGTGGCCTCTCTATATCTGGTAACTATGATGCATGTATGGGAGAATAAATAACCACACTTGTCAAATTGTAACAATTTCTCTGGTATCGTGATTAGGAGAAATTAAGAGTTCTCTGTATTGCTCTTATGCTGTTCTGCACGCTAATAAATGCTGAATCTTCCACGTTAAAAATATGCCAAGTTCTTCTTAGAGATTGAGGGTATATTAAGAGTTCATATAATGTGCTTTGACTGAAATTATTTCATTAATAATGGTGAAAATAATAAACAGAGTATGAGCTGTGATGTACCCAAACCAAAGGAATTCAATGCTGTTGGCATTAATAAATTAATAATCAATATATTGAACATCACCAAGTTGTGTTCAGTTTAATTTGTGACTTAGAGTGGGGTAAGTCTGATCAAGCAAAAACCATCAGTATTTTTAGTTCACATTTCTTAAAAGAAAAAATGAGCCATTTCTATGTGTTGCTAGGACTCTGACAAACATTCATAACAACTCTCTTATCTTGTTGCAGCTAACTTGCTCTCCGTCATCTGCAGGTGAAGTAGCTACTCTAGGCTGGTGGGACTTATATATTAACTTTGGGTATAGTATACTCGTGATGAGACTGATAGTATCTAGATTTCGGTGTTCTATCCGTGCCTCTTATAAATTGCTTCATCCTTTTGCAGCATTGGAGAGTGCTTTGCCTTTCTTTCTTCTGCAAAGTGGTACAATCCAAGAATTCATGGTGACATTACTGAGTCATCATCATTATTTGTGCGATACCAAGACCGGGGTAGCAGCTTAGACTGGCAGCAAAGTGGGTTATGCAATCTGCAGAACATTGGTGGGCACATTATGAAGATTCTTTTCATTGGTTTCCAAATACTGCTAATTTTGCATTTAGAGGTATGAAAGATGTTAAGAAATGGCAAATTTCTGTTCTCATTGCCTTTTCAGAGTTTTTCTTTCCTCATTTCTTGTCCTTTCTGTTTTTAAGGGAAGTCCCGCCACTGCCAGAAATATGCCGTTACAGACTGTTTTTTCTCCTCTTTTTCTGTTGCAAGGAGCTGCTGTTTTATTTGCAGCTTACAGATTGGCGGAAAAACTAGTACTTTTACTTTACGATGGAGAAATTTCTGCAAGATACTCAGCTGTTGCATCAAAAGCACACGATTGCTTTGGTTTCTTGGATCATGGGTCAAGGTAATAGTATAATGCATATTGGATACTCTGGCCAAAAAAAAAAACGAAGGCTTATTGGATAAATAAAATGAGTATCTTCAGCAGGTTCTCTTCTAAGACAAAACAAACTTCATGTAACGTACAATTGCCTTGTAGATTTTGTCATGGCTTGCATTTTCCCATTAACAGGTTGCTGGGTTGGTGGTCGATAGATGAAACAAGTAGAGAGGAACAAGCTAGAATATACTATGATGGGAATTCAAAGTCAGTATTTTACTCCACAGATTTCTCTTATGTAGCAAATATTCAATTTTGTAGGACGTTTTGCTTATTCTTTATGCTTTTTCATTTAGCAAGTGAACATTTGCTCCTTTTGTATCTTTTTCTTTTTCATCTTTGTGCTTGGGGCTTCCCCTTTGCCTAGAACATTCATCAATCCTCGGACATTCTATCAGTCTGTCTGGATAATTAGTACAAGATATTGATCAAATTTCTCTCCACTGATATATAATTCAATTTACAAATTAGGTATAATACTTTCTCCCCTGATATGGTGAAGAAAATGCCTAGAGCAGTTCTTGCTGAGGAGGTAAAGGCGTTCTTTTGCAGCAACAACATCATTTATTGCGTCACATTGAACCAATAACCCGAGCATCTTCAAATCATTGGCATACATTTGTTAAATGCATTTATTTTTACTTCCAGATTTGTAGACTGCAGGCTGCATTGACTGAGCAGACTGATGTTACAAAATTTAGCCAGCAGCAGTATGAAAGACTACAAAATGTAATTTTTTTAAGCCTTCATTGATCTTAACTTACTGCATTATGAATATGAAAATCATATGATTTTGGTTATAAGCATATCGTCAGCTTTTTTGTCAACGGTTACTAATCTTCAAATTTGTTGATCAGTTGAAACTTGAAACCAACTTGAATGTGTGCCTTTTTTTTCTTTTTTTTTCTTTTTTTTTTTTTGTGTACACTTGGTATTGCCTTCCCCACAACGTGGTGAACATTATAAATAGTTTATGAAACTAAGGCAACGGGGATGCTGCAACGTAAAGCTGTCATTTTGGCCCCATTACTTCATGGCAAAGGTACCCCCACATAATTATTGCATTTGTTTGTTAAGGAATCTGGTACCCCACAGAGATTTTCCTTTAGCGGCCAAAGGTACCCCCCCAAAGTTACTGGAGGCTACTTTGTCTATAAACAAGTAGATCTGTGATTTGGAAAACCTTATCCGATACAACTGACGTATTCTTGGCTTCCCTTTTTCCAATTAAAATGAATGTATATATATTCATGCTCTCATTTATTCTTATTATTATTGTGAACCGTGGAATCTTTTTGTTCATTGTGCTTGAATGACGGCAAAGGGTAAACCATTTTAATGTTAGGATCCATTTCACTGTTAACCAAGTAATTGATTAATCTATCAGGAAAAGATCCTATGCAGAGTTTGCTTTGAAGAGCAGATAAATGTGGTTCTGCTTCCTTGCAGGCATCATATTATTTGCAGGTAAGTCTTGCCATTGATTCAATTTTCTATGGCAGACTCACTGTCATTATGATATTGTTTAATGATTGATTTTTTAAAGGGAGAACGACAAATAAGAACCTTACAAGAATATTAATGTCAAATTAAGAATTTTAGTACTGAAACATGAGAGAAAGAGTACTGAATTTGAGAGCGTTAGTGTTGAAAAATTCTAATGTGACATCAATATTCTTATGAAGTCTTCACTTGTCATTCTCCCCTTTTTAAACACTAGGCCCAGAGTGAGAAACATGCTTAGATGGATCAAGTTAATAGACAATAGTTGCACTATGCAAGTTATCAAACATGTTTCCATATGCTGCTATCCTTTCTACGCAAGATTTTCCATTTTTTAATTGACAAGCATGCCAGATTATCTTATCAATTATCATAACCCATGTTATGACTATTCCATTGTGGATGACAGTGCTTGCTGTGAAAAATGTAAGAGGTGTCCTGTCTGCCGTGTCTGCATCGAAAAAGCAATGCCTGTATATGATTTGTAGATTCCATGTTCACTGGTAGCAGATCTTTTATTTCCTCTTTTTTTTTTTTTTATGCTTGTGTTGTTCGATTAGGCCATTACTGAGAAACCAAGAAGTGTGGTCCTCTGCTCATAAATCAGGTGTATATAATTTTACAATGCACATCCCTTCCCTCCCCTTCCTGTATAGTTTAACTTTAACCATGTTAGGCTGCCTTTGGATGAAAAGAAAAATAGGGAGAACAGAATATTAAGAGGGAAAACTTGCAAAAATTTTGCTATTTTTTCAAGTTTTCTCTTCCAGTATTCTCTCCTCCATATTTTCTTTCCTATCAAAACAAGAAGTTGCAAAATCAAACTAGATAACTCTCGATCTCTGCATTGGTAATTGGTTCATTGCCTAATGGTTCCCATGTCAAACTCTGTTGTCTATGATCTTATGTTATACCAAGGTTGATAATGGATGAATATATATATAACAGATCTCTCTGAGACATGTTTTGAAATTGCAAATGAAATTTAAATGGCTGCACTGCTCAATACATGAGGGACATCAAGGTCCATACATACGAACATAGACTTATTAATATCATCTCAAATAGTAAGATACATATATGCTCTTCCCCAAACATAGTCTTAATTCGTAAGCAAGGCAGTGCCGTTGACACAAACTTGAGGCTCAAGGTTCCGGCTTCTCTCTCTATGAATCTTGTCTGGGATCATCTGGGCGAAATCTTCATAGCAATCCTCCAAGTTTCTGAATGATTCATCAGGATACAGAGTTGCAATGTCAGCGTCGCGAGGTCCCTCTGAGGAGAAGTTCAGTTGACAGCCTTTGATGAAGATGTCATGCGTGAAGGACGCCACAACACTCCCTGGGATGCGGTTCTCTGCAATGAAAAATTGTTATACCAGCAAACATATGATGATGTGATGAGATTGTTGAGAAACTAAAATCGAACCTGCAGCTACAGCAAGAAGATCATCTTCAGAGATGGTGACTCGTGGGATTTTACGTCCGACTTTAGATTCCCACAAAGAAGCGAGCTCGTTGATGCAATAGAAATTGTTTGCAGGTCGAAAATGGACGTTCTTGTTGAGGGTTCTGATATCATCAGCAGCTTTAATGGTGAATTTCCCAATATCCGCGCCATCAACAAAGTAAGCTGTCCATGTACAACCAATCAAACAAAACTCTTCACAATAATTCATGTCCTGATTTGGTGTTTATCTTATTGCATGGATTTTTCAGACTCTTTACAATAGTTCGACGCACGGGCAGATACTAAATATAGGCACCTTTGCCAACATAAAATTGATCACTACCTCTTTTCATTAAATCTAATTTTAAAAACATGATCTTTATTGTTTGATAAATATTGTGGCCGGTCAGATAATTCAAATGGAGCCGAGGCCGAAGTTGAAATCAGATAAATGGTCATCCTTGTGCCCCAGACAAAAAAAAAGAGAGAGAGAAGTATAACTATGGGGTCCATAAAACAATAATCCGTTTAAGAATAATTGGAGTATAATTTTTAGCCTTTAATTTTTTTCAATTATTAATTTAATTCTTAAATTTTGGCTCAGTATAATTCAATTATTTTAATTTATTAAGTTACCAATTTATATAGACAAAATAAAACGAGGGTATGATTCACTAGAAGGATTAAAACCCCAGATCAGAGTGAGTTGGGTTTGAGAAATGTGCGTGGATGGGGGCAACAGTGAGACACATCATTGTCGGTTAGGTACTCAAAACAAAAATGTCATAGAATAAAAAAAATTAAAATGAAAAAAATAATGATGAGAAATATGCTGTCTGCATCTTCATAGAATAACCTTTTCAGCAACCACCCCCCCTAATTTTCCCGGGGTAATAACATGAAAGGCTTTAATAGTTAATACCTTGATAGGATGAGAAGAGAAAATAAAAGGAAAGAAAAAGGAAAAAAAATTCTTTCTTAATATTTGGATAAATAAAAGAAAATACATACTTCTTCCATTTAAAAATATAAATTATTTTTAATCAAATCTTACTTATCAATACAATAATTACCCATTTTTAATTAATTCTATCTTTTTATGTTTACCCTATTGAACACCTTACAATAAATATAAAGTCGTTTATCAATAGGATACTTTTAAAAAAAATAATAATTACACCTTAAAAGATTAAAACTATCTTACATTTTTTAACATTCAACTTCTCAAAAAATACCTTATATTTTTAATGAAAGAAGTAAAAAATAACTAATTTGATAATAATAGTACTTGAATCTGGCTCAATTTATATATTTAAAAAAATATTTTTCTCATTAAAATATCTTCACTTTTTAAAAAAACTTTAAATAGAGAAACCTATTTGTTTTTATATATCTTTTTTTTTATTTTCTCTTCTTATGTTTTTTTTGCTCTCAGTCTAAAAGTCTAAACGTAAGTCAAGTCAGAATGAGATACCTTTGACAGTGCCATCACCGTAGATGGGCAAAACATCCAACGGTGGAGGGTGAGTGGCAGGATGACAATTGTCATAATAAGGCCAAGAGGCAATAGAATTGCAGCAAATGTAGGTGCAAGGGATCCCTGCCTCCTCTATCATTCGCCTCACCCTCCGCTTCTCTTCATACATCCGGAGCCCCGGTTCCACTGGATCCGCCCGGTCCACGTCATGCCCGAACTCCGACGGCAAATATCTCTGCAACCCCCAATTTCAATTTCATAAAAGACCATTAAAATCCTTTTTTTTATTCTGTTTATAAAATAGCCAGTCATCATTAATTATCTCCATTCTTTATTATTTAATTAAAATACACCTATTTTTCTACTAACTTAATAAAATAATTCTTTCAAAGATTCGGTCCCCACAGCAGAGTCGTATTCAAGGGGGGAAGTTTATTATTTAATTTTAAATATTATGAATTAAGGCTGAATAGTTTGCGGCCAGTAGTTTATTTTGCCGAAGAAAGAATTTTCTGTTTAGTTGCAAAAAGAAAAAAGAGACTTTTTCTGGCCGAACGCAAAAGATGTCGTATATGGACGTCCAAACACAAGGTAGTACTGATTTTCATGTACAACGAACCAGAAAAATTTATTAATAAGGACAACATTTATTTCAAATTTAAATTTAAATTTAAATATCCTTTTTTAAAAGAATGTACTCCCTTCATTTAAAAATGTAAAACATGTTTAATCAAATCTCATCCTTAATAAAATAGTTACTTATTTTTTAATTAATCCTATCTTTTTATATTTATCCCTATTAAACACCATATAGTAAATATAAATTCATTATTAATAGAGACGCTTTTGAAAAAAAGGTAACGATTACACCTTGAAAGATTAAAAATATTTTACTTTTTTAATATCCAACTCTTTAAAAAATATTTTATATTTTTATACGGAAGGAGTATAAATTATACGAGAAGTCTAAAAATATTTATTGATCTTATTAGTATTGTAAATTTTTTATCATAAATATAAGAGAGAATAATTATTTTTTAAATATATATATTTGATATTTTATACCTACTCTTCAAAGGAGAGACAAGCTCAATTTGCTTTGATTTAATGCGGGGCCTTTTGCTACCCTACCTTGCAAGTATCATTCATGATCGTATCAACATCACTATATTAATATGCATATATATAATTAATTATAAATATATAGTATATTTTATAAAGCATCCCACGTATTATATATATAAGGCTGATCATTAATGTTCTATGCTCTCTATCATCATGAATCTTTTCGTTCGTTAGTGTATTTATTTATAATCAGTCATTCTCGAACCTTTTTGTAGAAATAAATTGCTCCCTTCATCTTAAATTATAAGATATTTTTTTAAAAAAAATTAATATTTTAAAATATAAATATTTTGATAAAATAAAGTTTTATTAATGATATTTTTTTAATATTATTCTTTTCATGTATTCTCTCTCTTCAATATTCTTTTCATCAATGAGTATTAAATGAAGAGATTTTTTAAAAGTTTATACTTTTGTCTTAAAAAATAAGATAATAAAGTGTATTTAATAAGTTTTATTAATATATAAAATTTTACCTAAAAATATTTTATAATTTGATACAAAGTGAGTATAATCTTGATGTTTTCCTCGTTCGTAACTTTCATTCTGTTTAATTTAATTTTTCATATTAACAAAAAAGAAAAGAAAGAAAAGAAAAGAAACACGGACAAAATGAACTACAGGGTCTTTGACTTTCTGCATGGTGCGTGTCCTCCCTATCTACCCTTCTACCCATCCAAGAGTTATTATTTTATAAATTCTTCCCTGACTCGTTGGAGTAAATTAATTAATTAAATCTTTAGGGACCCAAAAAAAAATTTATCAAATAACTGAGATTTCATAATTATTATTATTATTATTATTATATTTTGCCAACAAGTTTTCATAAATTGTTAAAATATGACTACCAAGATGACAGAACTGATTAGATATACTTTTTTGGGTTGGTTGGTTGGTCCAAGATTCGATGTACTTGAGGAAGAAGATGGACTCGTGGTGGTGTTCATAATTTTTCACTAAAAAAGGAAAATAGAGAGACAGAGATAGAGACAGAGAGAGAGAGAGAGAGAGAGAGAGAGAGAGAGAGATGATACCTTAATAGTTTTGACAGATTTCATGGCCTCCACAAGAGGGAGCTGATCAAGAACGGCTTCGCCTCCCACTGCCGATATTACAATCTCTATGTCGTTCTCTTTCAATATCTTCTCCATCACTTCCTTCTCTTTAATCGATCCCTGTATCAACACCAAACAAATTTTTAACAGCTGTTTCTTTTAAAAAACATAATAATTAAAAAAGGTTTAGAATAATATATTTGCTCACATGAAGAATAGTGGCCCCCTTCTTTTGAAAAGCTTTGACAAGGGCGGCCTTGGGAGGGGCGAGCGGTCCACCGCGTACGAGCACGAAGGTGGAGTGGCCGGCGGCGAGGCTGGCCTCCGCCACGAACCGACCGATGAAACCCGTCGCTCCGACGATGAGTACCCGTCTGATTGGGGCGGCGGAGGCGGCTGCAGCTGTGGCGGCGGCAGGGGGAGTTGCTGGTGGCACCGTCATTTCCAACCTCGTACTTTGCTTCCCCTGATGTATAATTTTTTTTCTTTTTAGCAAGAGCCTGATACTTGCGGGTGCAATGGGATTGTCGTTTATATAGGATAAGGCCCGAACTACAATTTTTCAACTACTCTTCAACACCTATGCACGTGGAAAATTCCAACTATTTTTATTTTGATTTATTATTATGACAAGTGTTCAACAATGAACGACATTCTTGCACACGACACAGCTCGTATTAAATATAACTGTTTTTTTTTTTAACATGCCATAAATTTTTTATAGCGTTCTCCCTGGTTCACCTCATCAGATTTTTTTAAACAAGCTATTCAAAGTAGCCTTTTAAAATAATCAGGAATTTATTTTTTTTGAATTTTGAGTATTTTTAAAAATTTAAATAAATATTATAAAATTTTACAAAATAGATTTTTTTAAAAATGGATAATTAATTTTTCATCAAAAAAAAACTTAAACAAGGGAACCCATACGAAAGTTATAAAATATCTTCTTTTTCTACACTAGACTACTGTTATGGCCATGGGAGCTTCATGTGGATTTTCAACTTTTTAAATTAACGAACATGAAACTTATAAATAAATAATAATTTAAAAAATAAATATTTGAAAAGAAATTATTGAACAATCTTGTTGGTGACAAGTCATCTCACCCACTAATCCGTCTTGGGAAAAACGCTTTGACGGTACCCTCGGGATTTATATGTTTTTTATTAGGTAAATTATTATTATTATTATTATTATTATTATTATTATTATTAAAGCATTTTCCACTAGCATTGAGATTACAAGCGAGACCAAAGTTACGACCGTATCACTAAGCTACAAAGCCTTTGAGATTGAGTAAATTACTTTGAAGGTAAAGATAGCACGAACTTTAACGGTTCAACCCATGTGCAGATAACATTCTTGTCTTTAAAAGATGACAAAGAACACCCCCCCCCCCCCGGATTATTAGTAGATTTTCAATTTTCTGTAGATAACCCTCATATTATTAATTAATTTATTGTTTTACTAATTGAGTGTTTATACAATGTTAATGACTAAATACATATTCCTTTAAACTTTATTTTCTATAGATAACTTCCTTAGACTTTTAATTATATGCAGATGACTTCTTTAAATTTTAAATTATGTGTAAATAAATTCATTATTCTATTATTCTTGTGAAAGAATGAATAAATTAATAGTAGATGAGTTATTTGCATTGATATAAAAATTCAAAAGTCCAATGTACAAACTAAAAAGTAAAAACCCACACATTAACCCAAATTTTAGGGAGTTTATGTACTCCTTCTTGTCCAAACTGTAAGATATTTTTTGGAACAATTATTTTGCATATTTTTATAATTTTTAAAATTTTGAATTAGGTTCATGTAGCTGGGTTTATTTTAATCAAGCTCTTGTAGTTTGATCTGTTAGATTTATTAATCCCTAATGAGTCAAATTATTAATGAATGATTTATTTTAACCTCCAAGGATTAACAAATCTAATGCAGACACCTTATTCAAAATTAAATAAAATCACAAGGGCCTGTGGATTAATTTTTCCATAATTTTTTTAATTAATTTTGGTCTAAAATATAAGTCACTTAGCACTTTTCAAAATCATTTTTTCTAATTTTTTCTTATATTAATTAATGTGAGGGTGAGAAATATAATCCGTCTAAACAATTTTTCTTACGCTTCATAATAAGGGGTTAAGGGCAAAAGAGAATTCTACCCAAAAAAGGGGGCCAAAAGAGAAAAATATATCATCTTGTTATAAAAGAAAGCAAGGAAATAATTTTTGCAAAAAAATTTTTTTTTTATTGATTTTTAAAATTTGATTGTCTCTTATAAATTGGATAGGATGGGGGTATAATTTATAGAGTTTAAACGAAAAAACATACTTTTACGATGTATTATTAAATTTATTATCACTCCATAATTCATTTATAATAATTCACGTTATTTGATTTTTTTCTAACACCGGAGCTCGTCATTTGATTGAAAGCATGGCATTTTTCTAGTTTTGTCTCTGATCAAATTTTCAAGGAAAATGTATCTGGTCATCCAATGATGGAATCTGTCATATTATTAAAATTTGGACGAAGAAAGAAAAAATGATCCTCCACAAAGAAGGGACCGTATGGACGAAGAAAGAGAATAATACTTGCTTCCAAAATACATCAATGCCGTGCGCGGCTTCATTTTGTTTCCAAGACAATGTAGGGGTAAAATTGTCCATTTATTAAAAAAATTTGACTACTCTAGTATTTAAAAAAAAAAATAGCTACTAATGCCTTTTAAATTATAAACCACTTTAAAAAAAAAATTTGACATCTCAAGATGTAAAACACTTTAATAAAAATAAAATTTTATTAATAATATTTTTTAGTATTAATCTTTATATTTTTTTAATATTTTTTAATAAAATATTAAATGAAAGGTATATTTAAAAATTTATATTTTTTTAAAAAAATAAAATTATAAATTATATTTAATAAATTTTATTGATATATGAAGGGATGGACCCGTTTAGAAAAAGAAGGGACAATTACCTCCATGTAATTTGCAAAAGTTACATTTAACTTTTGTTAAAATCATGCTTGCTCCTTTAAAATTGTAATTGTTTCCATAAAAAAAAAATTAATCCTCCCACATTCTTTTTTAAAACTATCAAACATGCATATTTCAAATCATTGTTTAGCCTTTTATTTAGAATGAAAATAAATTTATGGTGCAAGTGAAATAAAGACATAGTATTTTCAAAATTCTCACATAATTTATTTACATATTACTTTAATTATTAGTTAAAATTATATTTTAAAAAAACATAAATATTTATATTTAGAATAAATATTGCCACTATCACTAAATTTTTTTAAGTTTGGATATATATAATTTTATTTAAAGTTATCTTATAATTTAAATGAAAAGATTACTATTTTGAAGTGCAGCTATCACACTGTCAAGCAGCTTTCTAATTTGACTGATAGATGGCCGTCTCTGTGTGAAGAACCACACTGAATAAGCATTAATCAACCATTCTTAATTGGAAAATTAATTTCCCTCTGGAAATTTTGATTTCTGCGTAAAGTTATATTGACTTTTCTTCCGAGCCCCTTCACCTTCGGGTCTCCGTGTTACCAAACCGAACTGAAAAACAAATTAAAAAATTAAGAAAATATAAATATCATAAAATATAATATGTGTATTTTTTTATGAATATTAATAATAAGACGGTAATTAATTAATATTATTAAATCGTGGCAGGGAGTGCGACCAATAATATTGGCCGTATCATGACCCAACTCCTTTTACAGCAAGTCTCCTTAAATTGGACAGGATATTGATTAAATTATTGTATTTTGAATTTTATATATTAGATATTATATTATAAGTAATATATTTAATTGTGAGATTGTCATAACCTCTCTTGCCATTTGATTTAGTAATTATATGATAATTAATTATTCAATCGTGGCTGGGAGTGGGACAATAATATTAGGGAAAAGGACAAGAAAAATCTTCCTTCCATGACTCATCAACTCCTTTTTACAGCGATTATGATTAATTGTAAGGATTTAAAAAATCTGATCAATATTTAAATTTAGACAAGACATTGATCTAGATTGAATCAAGTGCAATCGTTTATAATTAAATTATTACATTACAAATTTTATATATTAAATACATATTACATTACAAGCAATATATTTAATTGTGAGATAGTGATAATCTCTCTTGCCATTTAACGAAAGAAAACGTCAATGAACACGTTATCAAAAAAAAAAACGTCAATAAATATTAAGTTACTATAATTAATAACAGAAATCCCCAGCCAGATGTTATAAAAAAAAATTAATGCAATATAATAAATTGAATATCGAGTATTAAATTACTATAATTAATAACAGCAATCCCGAGCCAGATGTTATGAGAAATTTTTAGATAAACCCAGCATCATTTACAATCTATATGAAAAAAACATGACATTCAAACAACATTTTGATACTAATAATAGTAGAAAGAGGAAAAAAAAAGGAAGGAATTAAATTTGCATTCTGTAATGAAAATAAAATTAATTAAAATAATATTAAATAAGATTTTATTTAGATAACTTGGGTCATTTTAATTGAACAGATAATAAATGACATAACATCCTTAGTCTGTTTAAGAATTTCTACAGATGTTATAAAATAAATTAATGCAATATAATTAATTAAATCTCAAACTATCTACTCCTCTTAAATTCAAAATTTTTTTATTTAGATTTTATTTTAAAATGCAGATTAATTCTTAAAAAATGACGTAAAGCAAATTGCAAGTAATTTAAAGTGACAAATTGAAGTTTCCATCCATTAACAAGAACTAGAATAGGCCCTCATGCATTTGCAAAAAATAAATAAATATTATTTCTGCTTTCCATGACTTATTTACATATCTTTTTAAATAAAAATATCTATGAAATACCCCGACCGATCCTTCATATAAAGAAAAATTTAAAAAAAAATTATTTTTAATTTAAGGTAAAGTTAGAGTAATTATTCTTTTTAATTTTTTGCAATAATTATTTACTATAATTTGATTTCTTAGGCAGTCGTTTATTATTATTATTATTATTATTTTGCAAAGAAGGAAAAAATTTGAAAATTATTAAATTTTTAATAATTATAAAGATATAATTATCATTTCTTAATAAACGTAAAATTGTTTAACTTCATCTTATATCAAAGATCAAACAAAGTATAAATACAATAATAAAAATAAATAAATATAACTTTTTTGTTTAAAAATGTAAGACATTTTTAATTGAATTTCACTCCTCAATAAAATAATTACCTACTTTTTAACTAATTCTATCTTTTTATATTTATCCTTGTAAAATATCTTACAATAAATACAAAGTCATTTATTAGTAAAGATACTTTTTAAAAAAATAATAGTTACATCTTAAAAGATTAAAAATACCTTATATTTTTTAGCATTTAATTCTTTAAAAATATTTTATATTTTTAAATGGAGGGAATACATGTTATTTATTATTTCCATACAGAATCCGAAGGTTAA